CACGTTGGCGACGGCAGTACTGATCGAAGAAAGCATCGTCCAAGCCATCGGAATCATTCCATCGTTCATGTATTGAACCTTTTTGCTCCGAATGTCGATGTTGATGAATCCAGTCCGCAGGTTCCAATCAAGGAAAGCTCCATTGGATATGGTAGTGTATGTGATCTTGCCTTTCGCGGCCAGGTCCTTGATGTGCTGATAAGCCTGGTTCTTCCCGTGGTGAAAGAGCGGCGATCTCGCTACGGGGTCCTCAGGGTCAACGCTGAACTCGCCCATTACTATACGATAGACTCCCGCGGAGACAGCAGCTTCGATGATTCGTCCCTGGAGGGTCGGATCGGGCCCAGATGTCGTATCCACGATAGCATCGTGACCGCGAAGGGCTTCGGCAATCGCCGCGGCAGAGTTAGTGTCGACGACCTTGACTGACACGCCAGCAGGAAACTTCTGCCCCTCCTTCCGAGCAATAACGGTAACATTGAACTTGGCTTCAAGAAGACCCTTCAAGACCTCAGACCCAAGACTGCCGGTCGCCTGAGCAATGTCAGTAGACCGCCTTCTCCTGGTACTCGTAGCTATGAACTTACACCTGCAATTGCGACATTCGTGATCTTGCTGGACATGATTGGTGTGCTTGGTGTCGATCTTATGGAGAGTATAGTTTGAGAATGTGGTGGTGGTGTAGGCGATCCTGTTGTTTTGGTGGCTTGATGTGGTCTTTTCTGGTTCTGAGAAGCAGGCTGTGGCGATAACTATATACATCATCTCGACATCGAAGACTAGGTGAAGTCAACCAAACGTGCGCAGATACCTAGTCATCCTAGATTCGTCCGGATTGCAAAGCATGGCATCAACAGGTTCGCGTTTTCGGCCATAACTCAGTCAGCCTCAAGTTAAGCGTGCCACGATAAGTCCGGTACGCTAGTCGTGCGACGGGACGGCAAGGGCCATACTTCCGTTCCGTCACATCTCTCGCGGCCCTGTCTGGATGACAGCTGGAAATCGCCTACGTCATAAAATCTCAGCTGCTAAATCAAGGTGCTATCTCGGGCAGAAGACCTAGCGCAGTAGGGCGGGGTTCTAGAGAGTCCCCGAGCCCTGGAGATGTCTGTTAGGTAAACGCCGACTAAAGCAAGCTAGACCTCGGCACAAGCGCCAACGTCGGCGAAGGACAACGATTATACAGTTTATATCAAGGTGTGGTTTTTCTCTCGCGCGACAGACACAAAACGCTGATGAGAGCGCGCTCGTACCAAGAAAGTGATAGCTATCCACCGGCAACTGATCAAAAGCGACATCAGTCCCAGACTCCCGGATACGATCCTACTACAACTTTTACTACCACATCAAGCAATGGAGTAAGCCTCCCTTTTCCAGATTCAGCTACCATTGCTAACCAGAACAGGGATGGCCATGCCTCGAACGGTGAGGCCCCATATTACGATCTAGGGGAATACAGACGAGATGCTCAAACGACATCTCACGAAGCGCAAGCATGGTTCGCCCGTGGTCTTGTGTGGTGCTACTCATTCAACCATGAAGCAGCCATGCAGTGTTTTGAGGCGGCGACTGTACATGATGCGAGTTGCGCATTAGCCCACTGGGGTATTGCTTACGCTGTTGGCCCGAACTACAACAAGTCATGGCGCATGTTCACACCGGAAGATCGCACAAATTCCATCGAAAAGATACTTCGCGCCTTGTCGCAAGCCAATGACGTCGCGGCCGCTGCCTCGCCCGTGGAGAAAGCACTCATCACGGCCCTCAATGCTCGCTTCCCAAAGAGTAACACAGATGTTCCAAACGACCTATCGGCGTTCAATTACGCCTATGCAAAAGCTATGCGCTCGGTCTACGAAGAGTACGGGGAGGATCTCGACGTGGTCGCACTATTCGCCGATGCCGTCATGTGCACTCGTCCGCGTCAGCTCTGGGACCTCAACACCGGGAAGACTACAGGCACAGATGTGGACGAGGCAAGAGCCGCTCTGGAGAGAGGCTTGGCACGTTCCGATGGTCTCAAACACCCGGGTCTGTGTCATCTGTACATCCACATGATGGAGATGTCGCCTTTCCCAGAAGTGGCTTTGCCCGCGGCTGACAGTCTGCGACGACTTGTACCTGATGGCTCTCACATGCAACACATGGCCACACACATCGACACGGCCTGTGGCGACTACCGTCGCTCTGTCGATTCGAACTTTGACGCTATACGTGCGGACGACAAATACTTCGGGAGTGGGGCCAAAGCAGCTCTCATCTACAACGCGTATCGATCGCATAACATCCACGCTATGGCCTACTCTGCCATGATGTCTGGTCGGTCTCGGGACGCTCTCTATGCTGCGACACGGATGTCTGAAGTATTGACTCTGGAGTTCATGTCGATCAAAACGCCACGAATGGTAGACTGGACCGAGTGGCAACTTGTAACGCTGCCTCACGTGTTGATTAGATTTGGTCGCTGGGAGGAGATTCTCGAGCTCCCGGAGCCGGTAGATCCGGTTTTACTCTGCGTCTACAAAGCGACAATCCATTATGCCAAAGGGATTGCTTTCGCAGTACTTGGGAGGATAGATGAGGCAAGCCAGGCAAGAGACGCTTTCGAAAAGACCCGTCAGTCCGTACCGGAGGACCGTATGTACAGTCCCTCCTCTCCAGCAGAACCCATTCTAGCTGTAGCGTCGGCCATGCTGGAGGGCGAGTTGGAGTATCGCAAGGGTAATCACTCTCAGGCATTCTCCGTCTTACGACACGGCATTAAGTTGGAGGATAACCTCGCCTACGCTGATCCGCCACTCTGGATGCAACCCGTTCGCCACGCTCTGAGCGCACTCCTTCTGGAGCAAGGCCAGTCTGAGGAAGCCGAACTGCTTTATCTAGAAGACTTGGGATACAGTGATAGCCAGCCTCGTCGGAAAGCGCGCATCAACAACGTTTGGGGACTACATGGTCTTTATGAATGTTTCATGCGGAATGGAAAGCAGGAAAAGGCCAAGAGCATACGCCTCCAGCGTGACATTGCCGTGGCTTCCGCTGACATTTCCATCGAGTCCTCATGTTTTTGTCGACTGTCAGCGTCAAGCAGTGAGCAAAGCTGTCATTCTACATAGATAGCAACTTGCCGGATCGGATGAGTGGAACACTGATGCTATTTCTGTTCCTTTCGTCGATAAATCTATGGCGTGGCGCTGTCAACATCAAACTTCGGTTCTCAATCGCTTGGCATGCGTGAAACATATGCAAATACTGCTCTACGATGTTTATGATCACGGCGTAAGACTTCATGCAGAGTTGATGGCACAGATGAATAACACTGGGTAGCATTCCAGTAGGCTTTCTTTATAGTGATTGAATCCGACACCGTCATCCATCTTCGACAATCACTTTCCGTCCAAGAACTGCAGCTCCTCGGCTGTAGAAGTGCGACCCAACACCTCGTTCCGCTGCGGGAAGCGCCCAAACCGACGAAGTGCGTCCAGCTTGCTTTCACAGATGCTAGTAATAACACCCTTCAGCTTCGCAAAATCGCTCCTTCGTTTGAGAAGCACGTCGCGGTACTGGGCGAATTTACCGTCCCATCCCTCGACATCCCTCTCTAGCAGCCTCTCATAGTCACGGAACATGTCAAAGTGTGCTTTGTGTAACGATTCTGCTACTGCCAGGCTCTCGCAATGTTCCATCGGCATGTAAAACCAGAATCTGTATGCCAGTCGGAAGCGAACTTCTGAATCCATGGGGGCACCGGAGTCAATCGCTTTGGAAGCCACTTCCAAAGCCAGACTGTCGAAAACGGTGAAGGCTACACGAGCTTGAGCACCTCGGAAGCAGTTTCTTGGGAGTTGGTCAAGCAATATGATCAGACTGATCCAGTGCATAGGCTTGCATGGCTTTGCTGCTGCTATGATTTCCGCTCCGTTTGGTTCTACGACCTGAATGAGTTCGAGCAATGCGCCAAATTTATCCCTGTGGCTAAGTAAGCTTCTGTTCGCGGGAAAGTATCTAGGATAAGCTGAGTACTTACATACATTCCTGGTCGTAAGCATCATTCTGTGAGAACCATGGCGCCGAGTCCTCGATGCTAGGGCTGATGATGTGGTCGTGGTCTTGGAGATGACGAAACCAAAAGGCTGAGATCTCATCCAGTTTAGCGTGCGACAGGTCGTTTTCGAGAGATAGCTGCGACATGGCTTCAGGGTGATGGCTGCAAGAGTTGTGAAGTAGCTTGGTCGTATGAAGATGTGTGGGGTGGGAAGGCAATCCGGGTATTCTCAACACAGACACGTACTTTACTCAGTCCATGACCTATTGCACGACGCGTGATGCCAAGCTGATATGTCAACACAGTTCGACTACATTCGTCCGCTGCCGTAGAACTCGTCCGAAATTGCAAGAGGTCGTCTTGGCTTCTATCGGTGTTCGCTGCGGACTTAACCATCTTTCAAGGTCATGTTTAGATCTAGTCGGCCCGTTTACCGGCACCGCTAAGACGAACGTACTTCCGTTCCGTACTGCTAACTGGGTACGCTACATTACCGTTTCTGGACTCTGTCGACAGATTTGGTAATACTAGACTTGCGACTACGGGTGTTGCCGTCCCCGACTTCGTAAGCAGACTGTCCCAAAGTCGACTTGTTGACTTTCAAACTCTACTCCACGACCAGAGACCCCGGATTTACCACCAGAGTACGAAATACTACATCACGCGCGGTTCATCGAATGAGCCACGCTCGTATCATACGTAATCGCGATCCACTGCGTTTGCTGGGCATTGGTCAAGGCCTGCGCGAACGAGGAGAAAGTTCGTCCGCCTCATCGACGCAAGACGCGAGACGAAGAGTAGCATGAAAGTCTGTTGGAGAAATGAACTATGCGTAGGAGCGCATGCTCAGTATATAGATCGTTACAATAACAGCCTTTGTGTCCATCACATCTCTTCTCAATCTCCTGCTTGTACTACCAATCTCAGTCAGCTTTCTCTTCCAATCACCTCGAACAAAATGCTAGCAACCCGAGCATTCTCAGCTCTGGTGGTGGGCTTCTTGTCATCCAGCTCGTTGGCCTTACAAATACGCCAATCCGAAGTACCTAAAGACCTTGTACAGCGTGGTCTTGCAGCCATTGGCATCAACTCCAACACGTCGGATGTGCGCAATGTGAGGATCAGTGGCTCTCAATTCCGCACCAAGTCTATCGTCACAACGATAGCCCTGGATGGCATGGACCAGACAGTCGTCCCATACGGTAGCCAGACGATCACGTATTCGTACGAGACAGGCAGTCTGAAGCAGCGCATTGACAAGGTTTCTGGCTTAGGGAGTAGGTCTTCTCTCTCGATACCGTTTGATGGGAAGCTGACTTTGAGATCCTAGCTCTTTGGATGTTTGCCCGACCTGAACTCGAACCTATGGACTACTCTGTAGTAGTACAAGGTGGTGATGACGCGTTTGCTGCTGTGGTCAGGGGAAGCTATGCGCTTTTTGACCCGACGGCTGCTCCAGAAGGCTACTTGGATGGTACTACGTCCACTGAGATATTTGTATCAAAGTCTGACGATCAACAGGATATCTCGCGGCGTATATGATCTCCGATGGTCAAAAGTGGGATCCGTTGCTGCTAAGCAAGATCTCTGCAAATGACTCCACTCTCCGATTCGAGCCGGTGGAAGGGGGCTTACTACTCCCAGCAGGTTGGTCATCACTTACCGTTCTTGCTATAACCTTTCTAACCTGAGTGTAGTGTTTGACCAAGCACTGAACATGTCAATCATCTTCAACCCCGACACTTACCTACCCTTCGCTATCCGCACATACGAAGACCATCCCTTTTTCGGTCCTTCGACGAACGATCTCCGAGTATACGACTTCGTCTCAGTTAACGGCCTCATGATACCCCGTCACTACAAGACCATGTACAACAACGAGCGCTTGTGCATCGACTTCCTTGCAGACGAAATATCAGTCAACACTGAAGTCGAGCCATCGTTCTTCGATGTCTCCGTCGAACGCGGCGAACTGAGCATTCCCGTCGTTGACCCCGCCCTGACTGCTGAGATCGGTGAGAAGTACACGAATTACATCTGGTTCGGTCGGAACAACTTCACAGTCGAGTCGCTCAGTGGATCGCAACCGTACGCAGATCTACCCGGCGTCTGGGTCGTCCGACCACCTGGTGTATCCGCGTACCGCCAGATCCTGCTTGAAACTGACACCTATGTTGCTGTTCTGGATGCTCCCGCTGAAATCGTGGCGGTCTTGCTCGAATGGGTCAGGATCAACATTGGAAAGCCAGTGTCGCAGGTGTGGGTAAGTCAGCGATCTTAATCCGCCTAATTACTACTCTGATGAGCTTTGCTAACATTGCATAGCCTACGCATCATCATCACGACCACGCTTTCGGTGTCAAGGGCTACGTCCAGAACGGAGCGGAAATCGTCTGTCCTAAGATGGCTGAGTCGTACTACGCCGATATCCCCGGCGCCAAGTTCGAAACCTTTGAGTACGTTGTCATCTACGCTTGTCACCAGACCAAGCGCTAATCTACTTCAGACGCGGAGCGCCACACATCATGGAGACCAACGGTTTCAGGGCCACGTTCATCCACATTGAAGGCAGCATTCATGCCCAAGACCATAGTGTCGCCGTCATCATGCCTGCTTGTCCCACCGAGGACAGCACAGTCGTTGTGTTTGATGCCGATCATGTCACCCAAGCGCAGTTGATGGCAACACACAACGACCATAACGAAATTGCTCAACTGGTCAACGCTATGGTGAAGCACCGGGTAGCGAAGTCAGCGGTGTAAGTTCCCAAAATACGCTCCCGAAACGTGGTCACTAATTCTCGGTACGCAGTCTAGTCTCTGTTCACGGTGACTTGGCCAACATGACTGATGTCTATGACGGGATTGGTTACTTGTTTCCCGACTATACGCCATTTGACTTTGAGTACCGCGGCGACAATTGTACCGTTTGATGAGGAAAGCGAGGAAGGCGACTGCGACTACCTTGCAACGTCGCCTTCTTTGCCTGTGCAATCAGCTGTGCGAGTAGCTACGTCGTCCAATGCAGCAATGGAAGGTCATGTCGAGAAGGTGTCGCCTTTGAGCAGACAGGGTGGTTGTATTGATTGAATCTGGGCCATTACTACCGAGAGGGATAGGCTCTGAGACTAAGTGAGAGGACGCCTTGATACTTAGAATCTGTCGCGGTGAGGTATCCGCATGGAAGCATGAGCGATGGAGGAATGACATGCCAGGTGTTCGGTCGCTACTCAAGCAAGCTTTTAAACTCCACTGCGTGGCACTTCGCATGTAGTTCGGTGCTCTCGTGATATGTCTTATCTCAATCTTCCAGTCTTGGATCCTTTCTATTCCTCTCGCTCATTCTTTCACTCATCTGTGTGATCTCCTCGGACGCGTTACTCTCAATCTTCTGAGATCTTTGATCCAACTACAGATATGTCAGTAAATGACTGCGATAGGATTACCGTAATACTCACCCAATGAACAGCCGCAGTCACGCCAAAGAACGCAAAGACGACCACGATCATCGCGATATACCCTTTCTTCCAGTACGGCGCATCGCTTGCTGGATAGAGTGCAATACCCCAGAAAGTGTACAATATCGACTGCACCATACTCATGATGTACAGCGTGACCGATCGAGAAGCGTCATCACCACTGCGTTGAGAGATCACGCTAGCCCATCCGTAGAGAATGGGGTTGACGATGTACGAGGTACCGGCCAAGTAGAATGCGAAGAAAGTTCCAGCGGTCGGAAGATTGGGTATCAACAACAGGATTGAGACTAGAAGCTGCAGAGCGCCAGCTAGTATAACCATCGGTATGCGGCGATTAGTCATGTCGATAACGTAGCCGGCCCCAACGTTGGAGACAATAGACACGGCCTGTATGCCTAACGGGTAGGTCGTAGTCGCATACGAGGAGAATTTCTCGCTGTTTGCTTTCATCCAGAGCAAGAATAGACCTTGCAGAACGATGGCTTCCAATGCGCAGGCTACTACTGAGTAGAGAGTAAAGATGTAAATATCCGGTTTGGCTAACAGTCTCTTAACAAGGGATTTGAGACTGATGTCATGGCTCCAATCTTTCTTCGGTGGCAGGCGACCTATTGCTAGCTGAATTTCCTCTTTGCTGAGATAGGGGGCATCTGTAGACTCCGGCAAGTTGGGGAAGAACATGAGTCCGAAGATGCCGAAGGGGATTCCCATTGCACCGTCTGAAAGCGATTAGTGGCGATGGTCTACCTCAAGAGGTGGACGTACTGATAATAAACACCCATTGCCATCCTTGAAGCGAAGTCTGACCATGCAGACTCTCGTTCATCGCGGTCATCATCACACCAGCGAACATGCTGCCAATCTGCCCAATAGCCGTAAAGATGGCTGTACGTTTGGCAATTTCCAAAGGCTTATACCAGCTACCAAGGATATAGATGGTGCCGCTATAGAGACTTGATTCGAAGAAGCCCTGGAAGAACCGAACTACGCATAGCTGGGCGTAGGTCTTGCATGCCGCAGAGCACATTGTTAGGCCGGACCACACTAGCAATGTGAAGGGCAGCCAGAACCGGGGCGCGACTTTCTGAAGGATGAGGGCATGCGGTATTTGACCAACACAGCTGCCCGCAGTAAACATGGCAAGCAGAATGCTGTATTGGTCGCCCTCGAGTCCGAGAGACTCCTTCAATCCAGACACGTAGGCATTGGCGAAAGCGCTGCGATCAAGGTAGTTGAAAAAGTATGCAGCGCAGCAATACACCTGGGATACCATCAGCTGCCATTATGTCAATTGATATCTTCTCCCCACCAGTATAAAGCAATCTGCGGTTGGTTAGATGCGCAACGTGGGGATCTGACGGGTGGTCCGACGTACCGAGCTTGCGAACCAGTCGCCTTTCGAGATCTACCATGTTGTCTAAGCGTGTGTAACCAGACCGATCATGGTGAGAGCGAAGCATAGCTATTGCATTCATCTGAACTCATGCAGGGACGGCGCGATGTGGAGGTCATGGTGACGGTACCTTGCTGGCCACAAACGAGCCAATCATGTCGCCGATTTTGCTAAGCATGAGCAAGTTTCCGTTATCGTAAGAGAGGGTCCTGCCGCAGCCAAGTCGCAAAATTTCGGGGGCGACTATCGTGACCCGTCGACCACGCTTGCCTGGAATAGACACAGAGTCACTAGCTTGGGTGTGGCGCCGCTACGGGGGGATCTCACGATGGCTGCCTTCACGTGCGCGATAATCAGGCACCACAACCACGACAATGCGCACAGACTCCACGGCCCGATATGAGGCTACGGGAGAATCGCACTCACCAGATCTCACTAGATCTCACTGAGCGACCAAGATCTCTATCAACTCTCCGCATCACCAGCCCAAACCATAACCAAGCCTCAGTCTGAGTCAAGGACGTGCTTTACTCTACGTCGATACAACCCACCACCCAGGTAGCTACATACCACCTTCAATATGGCCTTCAAGATGGCGACCACTCCACACATCGTCGCCCCCACAGCCCCCCACACCCACACCATCATCTTCCTCCACGGCCGCGGCAGCGACGCCAAAACCTTCTGCTCGGAGCTCTTCGAAAGCGAAGACACTTCCGTGCGAAAATTCACCGACATCTTCCCCAGTATAAAATGGGTCTTCCCCAACGCACCACCATCCTGCGCAGTTACCGAGCGAGAAGTAATACCACAATGGTTCGACATGAAATCCGTGCAACGGCCCGATCAAGACGCCGAGTCGCAGAAAGAAGAGCTATGGCAGAGCGTCGCGCAGATTCTAGAAGTTCTTGAAGAAGAGATGAAGCCCGTGGGATTGCGCAATGTGATTATAGCGGGGATGAGTCAGGGGTGCGCTACTGGTATTTTTACTTTGGTCACTTCTGGTATTCGCGTTGGAGGCTTCATGGGGCTGTGTGGGTGGTTGCCGTTGGCGGAGGAGCTATCTACTCTGATGGGGGTGCCTGGACGGGAGCGGGGTGTGTTTGAGATGCCGTTGCTTTTGCAGCATTGCAAGGACGACGAGGTTGTGCCTGTTAGGAATGGGGAGAAGCTCAGGAAGAAACTTGGAGAGTGGGGTGGGGTTGTGGATTGGAATGTCTTTGAGGATGGTGGGCATTGGCTTAATGAGCCTGGGGGTATGGATGGGTTGGTGGAGTTTATTCAGGCGGTTATGAGGGCATCACCTTTCCCTATACCCGTTAAAGAGGAAAAGAAAACAGAGGAGAAACCGAAGAGCAGAGATTGGTAGAGCGGGGTAGACGTCTAGGAGGCAAGTGTTTGGATGTTTCCCTTTGAGGGTACACGGCTACAGGAAGACGTCATTGTAGATATTGTTCCATATCCATATATGGCTTGAATAGACCTTGGAATGAATATTACACTCCTACAACCTCTCCCTCGATGCTTTGTCCTCCATCGTATTCATCGTATCCATCGTCCTGCATCTCCCCTCCACACATCCAGAGAACATGTCTACAGCAAAGTCTTCCCACTCCTCAAAGCCTCCAAATCACCCATGGTAAACCTCACATACCGATCCTCACCAGGCTTCATCCACATGACGACGTCATCACCGCCACCCACAACCTTCGTACCAAACTTATCAATCTCCATGCCCTCCGCCCGCAGCGGCGCTTTGTTCTGTTTCTGGTTATCCGTATTACTTGCTTCCTTGACTAAGCGCAAGAAGACCGGTACTGCGTATCTCGGCAGCTTACTCCTCGAGTACTCCAACAACGCTTTCCAGTCGAACGTCTCGGGGCTGACCCCATCGGCAAGTCGGAGGGCTACGCAGCCCGCGCGACCATCGTGCCCAGGCACAAGTGTACCGTATACGATGGCCTCACCCACACCAGGGTATTGTCCGAGGACCTCTGCTACTTCAGCTGTAGACACGTTCTCACTCTTCCATCGGAATGTGTCGCCTAGTCGGTCAAGGAAGAACCAGCGCCCATCGTCATCCCGTCTGAGCGCATCACCAGATCGGTAGAACAGATCGCCCTTCTTGAACACGTTCCTCTCGAACTTCTTCGCCGTAGCCTTTGGGTTGTTGTGATACCCAGCAAATGCTTCTTCACCCGGTACAGCGACCAAGATCTCGCCACCCTCGTTATACGGATTGCGCTTCACGAACCCAGTCTTGGGGTCTCGGAGTAGTTCTCCAGTTTCCGGGTCGATGGGAACAGGAATGTATACGTCGTGAAGAAGTCGTCTGATGATAGCACCGTGCTGTGCTACTGTCGTCGCAGTGAAGGGACCTTTGCTGTGAACCACCATACCCAGAACGCCTTCTGTCGAATTGAAGAATTCTATTACTTCAGGGACGTTGAAGCGCTCTTTGAATCGGTTCCAGACATCAGGTCGCATGCCGTTGCCGTACATGGCGCGTAATCGGTGGTCTCGCTCCCGTGGATGTGGTGGCGCCATAAGCAGATATCGCGCTGCTTCGCCGACGTAAACGAAAAGGGTAGACTGGGAGTCGTGGATGTCGTCCCAAAATGTGCTAACGGAGAACTTTCGTCCTATCGCCACGCTAACACCACCTGAAAGTGCTGATAGCACAGATAGGCCACCTGTACCGTGGAATAGCGGCATGCAGCAATACCATCGGTCTCCGTTTGGCCCGGCTTTCTGGTCAAAGGCAAGAGTTTGCGGGTTTCCTCGTTCGTGGAAACGGTTTACCATGAACTTTCCTCCTTTTGGTAGGCCCGTGGTTCCTGATGTGTACAAGAGACATGTCGGATCGGAACCCTTAACATTTTCTCTGTACTGATCGCCGGGTACTTGAGTGCTGTGCTGCTGAACCTTGCTAATCAGGTCTCGATCGACCCTGAAAGCTGTGACACCCATCTCTTCGACTGTCGTCCTCACGCCCTCGAATCGTTCTTGACATCCCTCTTCCTCGTCAACAAGCACGACCTTCACATCCGCGACTTTGAGACAATGCACCAGTCCTTCTCCTTTGAGGTTGTAGTTAAGGTGGGCAGGCGCGGCACCGATGGAAAACAGACCCAACCAGATAACCATGAAGTCTGCGCTGTTCATCATGTAAGTAGCGACCATATCCCCCGGCTTTACGCCTTGGGAGAGAAAGAAGTGTCCCCATTGGACGGCGCCATCGTGGACTTGTTGCCATGTGTACGTTTTCTCCCGCGACCAGATGGCTTGGTTGTTGCTGTAAAGTGGAACGTGAGTCGCGAAAGCGTACCAAGGGGATAGCCTCTTAGTTTTCTCTATGTTGACTTAGCTCCGAACTGCGTTTCAACGTAAGTAAAGGTATCGCTGGAACTACATACCGAGTTGCTCATAGTAGCTAGCTGCGTTCTTCTTGAACCTCAGTCCCCTAAGGTCTTGTGCAATGTGGTATTTCGCGTTGATGTAGGCTGCTAGCCCGGAAATAGCTGCTACAGATGCAGCAGCCGCTGTTGCATCCATCTTGACTGATCTCGGTCTCGGATTCCTCTTTCGGGTAAATGTTGGACGTGGGTGTGAGAGAGGCACTGGGAGTGAAAAGCTTCAATTCAAGGAGGAAACGCAATGGCCCGGTGTGATCGTCTTCCACAGTTGCCGTTTGTCGGTCCTACTGCTGGCTGAGTCCGGAGCTAATAAGATACCGAGGTCGAGTCAGTTTAGTGGGTCTTGCGAGACGCGTAGTGAGTGCGGGGGTGACCTAGCGCGTCGGACATTTGTACAGCGATTGCTTGTCTTTCGGGGAAAGCTTTGCGAGGCGTGGAGCGAGGTTTGACTTATGACGGTGTGTTTGCTGTGGCAGAAGCTTGTGGCTGAGATGGCTACAGATTACGGTCAATGTACCGACGATAACCACGACTATATCAGAATGCGGCCACCCTTGCATACGGATGACAGCTATATTTCCTTTCTTATCTGAGAAATGTATATGCTGACCTATGGGTGTCATTCGACGCAGCTATAAAACGGCTCGAAATCTCTCGATCGCAAAACGCGTCTTCCTAATGTCTTGAACATAAACTTGGCACAACACGGCCATTGTCTTATTTGACTGCCTTCTTCTCCTTCTTGCCAATGTTCTCCGTGCCCGGTGGCACCTTGAGTCCTCCAAACACCAATGCGCCGACTCCGACCATGCCGGCAGCTCCGGTCGCATATGCCGTCTCGCGGCCCGCCCACCAGTAGAGAGTGCAGAAGATGAGGGGTCCGAGGGAACGTCCGATTTGACCTGATATACGTTAGTAGATGTTCCGATGGAGATGGGAGTCTTGGCTTACCGAAGCTCCGATGGTTGCCCAGCTTGTTGCCTCGCTCATCAGCGCTCGCCTCGAACGACGAGAGACTGTTGAGGCCGGTAACGACCGTCGCGCTTGTTACGGCAAGAAGGGCAGCGGCCCCGTATAGTGCGCCCTGCGTCTGGACCCTTCCGAGCATGAGGAAGGCGATGGTGCAGCTTACCACTCCCATTTGGACCACCTTGAGAGGGTGCATCCGCCGCACCACAGATCCTTGGAGGAGGGACGCGACCAGTCCAATGAAACCGAGCAGTCGGCCAGAGTCCTTAGCCTGGTAAGAGAAGAGATCGTATGTCATGAAGGGTAGCGAGAACTCCATGCCGCTGAAGAATAGGATGAAAGTGAAGTGCGTAGCGTTGAGTAGGAAGTGCGAGTTCGTTCGGCCGCGAGGTTTTGGTGCTTCGCTGCCTTTCGCATGCCCGTTCGCGGTGCCGTTCTCAGCCTTGCTCGCCGATGGCAGCGTCTCTGGGAGACTGATGTAGAGGTAGATGGTCTCCGACACGATCAAGAACAGAGAGAAGCCCGCTGCCATGGCGAACGGGTTCTTGTCCATGACCTGCAGGGTGGACAGGTATGCGCCCAGCGCTGGCCCGAAGGTGAAGGCGATGCTGAAGCATACGCCCACAAGCGCCATGGTCGAGCCTCTCTGACTGTCGTCGCTGATGTCGGTCGCGATGGCCATGGCAAGCTGCACGTTGCCCTCGCTCAGTCCTCCCACCACGCGACTGGCAAGGAAAGTGCGGAAGTCGGTCGCTGCGACCCAGAGCGCAACGCTGAAGATGTTGCCCACCATAGACCACAGAAGAGCTGTGCGCCTGCCATATTTGTCTGAAAGTGTTCCGATAAAAGGAGACGCGACTGCCTGGCACAGCGAGAAGAGCGATCCGAGTGCGCCGCCGAGCAGGACTATGTCGTAGCGGGAGTTGATGGGTTTCGCGAACGAGTTCTTGTACGCATTGAGGCCGGCGAGAATCTTGGAGAGAATCGTGTTCGGGTCTCCGGTTTCATGGTTACGGTAGAACTCGATGAGTTTGGGGAACAGCGGGAGGATGAATGTAAAGGATATCTGTCAGGGTCAGCCCACGCGAGCGGTTACACGCGACGGGGATGACGTACCAAGTCTAGCAGCAGCGAGATGAACAGCACCTTCAACACCCTCTTCCGCAGTGCCGGCGGTACCGGAGTCGTGTCTGAGCCCATGTCGAAGATGTGCGATGGTTATCCAGCCCAGTCGCAAGAACCCCGAAGCAGCGAATGGAGATGTGGACACAAGTAATCGGCGGCAGCTGTCTGGTTAAAAGCAGCGCAGCGAACGAATAGAGGGGAAGGGTCTAGTTCAGCTTGGACTGCAGACCCTCATCTAATGATACACTAGAAATAGAACAAGTCGCGAATTGTGGTCATTGGTGGCAAGCGCCGAAGTGTATTCGGGTCATGACGAAGTTTGGCCGTACACGGGTGGCTCTGTTCGTGAAACAGGTGGAACAGGTGGGCACGAACCACGTACTTGAAACAAGACAAGAAAGTATCTGAGGCAGCCACGGCACCCATGCCCACATGGACAGAGTCATTGTATTGGTCTGCTGCGAAAAGGAGATGTGGCTTCTGTGAGCGCGCCATGGCTTGAGCAAGTATCGCAGGCGCGGATGCGACGCTCGAGTAGACAAGCCGAGGCAATGTGGAGCTTCACGCCGATCATCCATCCCCAGCATCACCCGACTAAGCCGATAGCGTACGTGTAGACGGCGAGCATTCCGACATTCCAAATGGTCTACCAAAGATACTCGTAACATTCTACATTGTTCCAGGCTCACGATGGGCAATCCGGAGGCAGATCGGCTAAAGGCAATGGCAGCCGTACAGGCCATGTTCGAGAAGTACAAGCTACTTGCAGCTCGTAGGCCAAAGGACCACGTGGTATGGAGATATCGATACCATTCACGAAGCTGCTGTTAATCATGACCAGGACTTTGACCGCGAGGTC